CAGAAACCCTCCCTCATTGTCAGGTATCTGCGTCAAGCAGATGCGGCGGGATATGATATACTTGTCATATGTCTTGAATACCACGAGACGCACCATATCGATGTAAAGCACCGAAAGACGCGCGTGTGTTAGTAACGCAATATATCTATATCGACACTACGTATCTCTTTGCTGACATCAGAAGTATAATCCATATAGCCGGTTTGTATCAGAGGCATATTATTCTGTTATCAACGCACTCTTGACTAATCTTGGCCTCCACACCAAAAAAAGCCGTGCAAACAGTATTGCACTATTTGAAGATGTCAGGCATAAGAGGCAATTCAGATACTCAGAGTTACAGAGACCATATCGATCATCCCGACACTACCCATGATATAAGGTAGCCTAACATTGAGCTCTCACTGAACTGTAAGTGGCCATGATTCCCTCGCCAATGAAAGACAAGAAAGCCATAGTTGACAAACTGCTACAATAGCCGTGAAACTAGCACAGCGGCCTTGTTAAAGCAAAACAGAAGTGGCGGAAACGGGTATGCACTCAACTAATAGCTGTCTCCTGTGCCAAATCCTGGCAGAAAACATGCGCTCCATGGCTGACTGGCGTGCTGTAGGTCACTTGTCACGGTCAGCAAATCTTTTGACAATAGCTGATGGTAGAGAGCGCCGAAGTAGGGCAATATGCAGAGCAGTTGCGATGTTGTGTGATGTTTGCAGGTCACTGGCCAGCTGCGTTACCGCAATGGTGGCAATTAAATTTGGCACCTTCCGGCCTCAAGGCTGATCTCGTACTACCAGACGGTTGTCAAATACTGTGAGCAGCATGATGCGAAAGCCCAGGCCTCTTTGCCACAACCTTGGTGCCTCCACAAAGTGTTTCTACTCAGGTATGTAAGTCGTTTTCGAACCATTCGCCATCCTTTTTTGCCCCAAATTATTACCTCAGCCCCAGGCGAGCAAGGAAAAGGGGGGGAATGGCAAAAGAGGTGCAGGATGACCCCTTGCAGTCTGTAATGTACACCTTGCGGCAGCAACGTACTTGTGTAGTACATGGCGATCCGGGCAAGAGAGCACATGGGCGTCAAAACCAAGGCTGTTGACTTGGAGTGTGCCTTTGTTCCAAATAGCAGGCACACGCCTGCAACCTGCAACATGACGACGGATGATGCCATGCGTGCCTCTCTGCACCCGTCAATGGCAACAGGTACCAAGGCAAGGAACGGTACATGCTACATGCCCGATAGCAGGACATCGACTTGAGGTCCAAAAGAACACGGCGCTAATGCACAAGTTGCTTGAACGAGGTCCGCATGTTCCAGGGGCAGGGCAGTCCCACAACAAGGTGGAAGAAGACGACGTCGACGACGAGGGCTGTTCAATGTTGCCATTCGGTTGCTTCCTCTTCTGGAAATATCCACACGTTGGCCAGGGCAAAGCGGGCTCGTCGGCCAACAAACGATGCACGAATAAGCGCAACCGCCCCTCCAGATGCCGTGGTGGTGGTCATGTCGAATGACATTCTGCGTGTTTGCGCGTCAGCCCGTATCGCTTCTCCATCTACCCTCTCGACCGCTGTCCGGCACAGATGACGCCCCCTTATTAGCTGCTGACGACATGGCCCATGTTCCCGTCTCTTGTCCTACGATTCTTTTCGGCATGATTTGAACTTGCCTTGCCTTGCCCTGTCCCACCCCCTGGGCTAGGACTGACCAGGGCTCAACCACCATCATGTCGAGAATCTGGAGCTTTCCGTGATGGAACGATCAAATCACAGTGCAGACCGCTTCCCAAGGCAAACTGAACCATGACCCGAATCTGCAGGGCAGCCCCTTCGGTACCCCCCCCCCCAAGAGGCGATGTTCCCGGGCCAGAGAAGAACCTTTGGGGGATGGTCCATCCAAGTACCCCCAGCACGAGTATCATGGTCCTTCAACAAAGCTTCCGCTTCCGCCGTCACTGGCTAGTAAACAATGTGTTCGCCATGTACGCATACGAAGCCTTGTCGACCCCTTTCTGCAGCAGCGTAGACTGGTCGCGACAGGGAATCAATCGGCTGACCGGCATGTTGGGTAGCACTGCCAGCCTGCCAGCATGAAAAACGTGTCAGCCATGGTAGTTTCCTGCCTTGGACCGTAGCCTTGGACATAGCATTCGGGAAATACCATTTCCATGTGACTGTTACCATCACCTTGCTCGTGCATATCGCGGCACTACTCGATGCGCGGGACAAAAGGCCGCCGTCATGCTGGCAATCTGCCAAGGGGCAAGTATACTTTTTTTATTATTATTTTTTCCCATACCGACGTAAGGGTCTGACTTGCTACCGCATCAGCTTGCTGCTTGTACTGCGGTTCGATACCCTCAGTGATATCAATCAGACGAGACAATCATCCACCTGATGTTTGATCATAAATTACGGTCTAGTGAAATCGGCCAACATGTCAATTGATGAGAGAAGCTTGGTCAATCGCGGGTATAATAACCGGGCTGTAGCATTTGCACCGACCCTTGTCCTCCCAGTCACCCGGCCGAGTCCATCTTGTTGGTTTGTCACGCTTGGGGGCCTTTTACCCCGTCTCTTGTTAACTTTTATACAACGCCCCTTCTGACAAATGTATTGACATGTACTCACAATGGCAAAGGGGGCGTGGGTTTCGAGTTTCAGCATATGCAGCACTCCGTAGGGTGTCAGGTCACTCGAGATTACCGCATACATTGTTCCATGGTTATATCTGCACTAAGAGCCGCCGTCTTCTCTTCCACGTGGTGGCCATTCTTGCGGAAATCTGCGCTGTATACCTAGCAACTGGATACTCGGTTTGTCTTGAACTTGCAAAGGTTCACCTAACCTCAACCGAGTCCCTTTCCACCCTAGGGGATAATCAATGCAAATAAAGCCCCTTGCATACCAATCATATGCTAATGAATGGGGAATATGGCAAATACCAAGTATACACGTTGCCGATTATATCGCCCTCCAGTTCAAGCGACCGCTTGGCAGTGGCGATTCTTCCCAAGAAGCAGCTTCTAGCTGCGGCGATCGCCTCAATTCTTAGCAACACCAGTCCGAGCGGGAGCGGGACAGTACATTAGGGCCAAAATGCTAAGACATTTTGTCTATACACACCCTCTCGGGCAACGGCCTTGCTTATTCCATGCGTGGGGGCTGGCGCTCACGGAGGACGGATTACACCCGGCCGAAAAGAAGACTACTACGAGGTCATTACGGAGTAATCAACCCACGCTCCCACGAGGCGAAGGGTCAAGGCGCGCCGATACATGAACCCCCGACGCTAGGCCATGTGTCTGCCGTCGAATGGAACATGGTTCCCCCCCGTCAGCATGACGCCGGCGAGAAGGATCAAACGAACCATGACCACCTGGGTAAGCTCATTATCATTACGAGAACGGCTTAGGCTATTTTTCACTTTAATGAGAAACGTGTTGATTCAGCATTAAAACTATTGTGAGAAAACATATAGTTTATCAAGGTCAGGATGTTTCTTGCTTGGTGGCAGGGTCTCGTGACTTATATCCCATTGACTTTTGAGCTTGTTTTGTTTCAATGGAAATACTGTCAGCGGGCTCCAGATGGGGAGACAAGGGGCGGCATTATCTAAACCGAAGACAGGCAGTGCATTTGGTCATCATACACGGTGAGAGAGCAACGTGTCCAGACTACAAGATGTTCCGGTTGCTCGGATATTAGAGACAAAGGTTTAGAGCAGCTAAGCTTACTGTTTGTTTGCTCTTCTTGTAGTTGTCCGTCTCGTATGCAACCCGACTATCGAGTGAGCTGGCATCGCATCTGTGGACAATGCGATGCACAACTTGGTGAGTGGGCAAACAGGTAGTCGTGGCAGCGGCTGTGGTAGGTCGCTGGCGTCTATCGATTCGTGACGACATGGTTGGACAGTCTGGTAAATACCATCCGGCGGGTTGCATTTTCACCTTGTTGCGGAAAGACTTTCTGGCAACGTTCTCGATGGGGGAGTTGCCCCGCGCCGGTGGTGGACAATCACAACTCTTTTAAGAAGCGCATAACTAGTAGTTATTAGCTCACTCCCCTCAGTTGATGTGACCGGCTGGACTCTAGGTATTCCGGAACGAGCTTGAAGCTACTTACTATGCATTAACGGCACACTTTCCCTGCCAGCCGTAATGAGTGTGTATTGACATCATGATTACTGGGAGCCCGGGGAAGTCATTTTTCTTTATTGGGCTCTTTGTATATAGTCTTTTGTTAGACAGTCTTTGTGTAGCCCCCAAGGTCCTTGGGACGTCAATTGCCTGCCAAGAGAGTAGTTCTGTGGCATTCAACCATACAGCCTAGTGGGAAGTGTTGATGCATGTCGAAGGGTGGCTCCGGAATCCACAGGCTTCCCAGTCGACTGAGCCGACTGAGTCGACGGAGCCTTGCAAATATACCAAGACTAGCAGGATTAGAACTTTCAGGAGTTGTGGCCTTGGAGACACTTATATGAATGGTAGTAGGGGCAAGGAGCCCTTTACCGGACAGGATACCTGCCGGACTATTCAAGTATATCTTGGTATATATTAGTTGAATAATCGACTTCAAGGTATCAAAAGTCCTTGGTCTTCCAAGAGGTCTCAAGGACTGAAGGTCTCTATAAATACAAGAACTCAGCTAGGGCTAGTGCCTGAGACTACCCTCGCTTGGTCTGACTCCGGGCTCTCGCGGTATTTCTTTGTGTCCTCATTGTTACGCGGCGGCGTACGAGTGCGCGCCTCCCCGACAGTCTTTTTGTTGCCACTTGCAACACGAGATTCTCTGGCATCTAAAAATAATTAATATTAACCGTGAATTAATTCTCATTTCATTCGCATTGGCACTCACGTTTATTGGCAGCTTTTGCCACTCTTGGGTAGCGGTAAAGATGCCAAACACGACAGCCAGGATTGTACGTATCTGGAGGGCATTCGCAGCTTTCTCTCCATCGCTCCATCGCTCGACACTCGTTATTGATCCTCCCCTGGGGTTTAGCAGAAGCTGTCGGCTAGCACCAGCCTCTTCTGGTTCAGGGTCCCATGTCGGGGTAAGTCTAGCAAAGTGAGGAGACGGTCAACCTCTCGTTGAGATAGGCGATGAATCTCTCCCCTGGTTCTTGGACAGTTGTCGATCGTTATTCCTGTAAATATATTTCGAAGCGGGAGTAATCGATGGCGTGGATTTATTGTAATTCCATTTCGGTTTAGGTTTTTAGTAATCGAGTTATATTCGCGAGCATTTTGAGTAATCCGGTTCTGGTCAGTCTGCCGTAGAAACGAGGTGTTTTGCCCTTGAAGTGAGGTCAATTGGGCTATGTTTTGGTTCAAACTATTATTGATTGGATTCCGAGTCGTATCAATTTCGTTTTCGTTAAAAAGGTTTCTCGTTTGGTTCTTAAGACTATGAAGTTCGTCCTGAACACCGGCAAATTCGTCCGGAACATCATTAAGTTCGTCCTGAACACCGGCAAGTTCGTCCTGAACATCATTAAGTTCGTCCTGAACACTATTACGCTCATTCTGAACACTATTAAGTCGGTTCTCAAGATGATCAAGTCGGTTCTCAAGACGATCAAGTCGCTGGGCTTCAACCACACGCGGAATATTTGAAAAACGCCTAAATTGTACCGCTGCAGCCTCCAGGTGCTGGCCGAGTGCGTTGAAATCAGGTTGCTGGTTCGCCATCATATAACAAAGTAAACAGGATGCAATTTGAGCGGTGATGGGATTGGCTGTGAAGTGGTTTTTTAAGCAAAACGCGGAAAGAAAAAGAATGCGCCTTCCAGCTTTGCTTCTTTTATAGGAGTTCCGGAGTGATGCGCCACCACAATCAAAAGCCTTATAGTTTGAGCTTAACCTAAAATTGGTCTAGACGACCTTCGATTACCACTAGTATTAGTAGTAGTAGTAGCTTAAATTTTCATGCCGGCACGTATCTTTGTGGGTTATTGTGATCCTGCCATTTTAGTGTTCAAGGCGGACCGACACCAACAGCACATCGCGAGCTCTGCAGGCAAATAGCCCGCCGCGGGCGGCCCCCGGAAGGGAAAAATGAAAAAGAAGCTCTAGGAAATGATGCTAGCAGCTTCAACGGGCCCAAACCCAAATTGAACCTTTAATTTTGACCCGCCCGGCTCGACGCTTTGCTTGCACCTATGACAACATTGAAGGACTTGATTTCGTGGTCATCGGACCTAGTCATATTCGTGAAGTGTTGTTATTGGGCCGGCTATAATTCCGGGCCACCTGAAAGTAATGATGTCGACGATGATGTTGACGACGATGTTGACGATGATGTTGGAGGAAAAAATCTTGGCTGCCTTGTTGTGCGGGGGTTTTAGTGCACAGCCTATAACGTGATGCCCTCAATCAAGTCACAATAAAATCGCAAAGAAACACGAAACTAAGTAAATATCGCGATTTCCATTCAAGATCACTCGGAAATTACATACAAGGGTGTGGCAGACTGATGTGTGCAGCGTGTAGTGATTCTGTGAACATCTTGATGGAGCGATGTGGATTAGACGGACTCGTTCTTCTCTGCTAGCTGCACTGCCAAGACCCCAAGTGATGTCAGCCACACATCCAACGCCACAGTCCCATAGACTAGAGTAACGTTGTGGCGCCACACAATGATGACACTCGTCAAGTTGACCAAAACGGTCCAAACCTACAACCACATCAAGTCTCAAATCCGAACCCTTACCAACGATAACAACGGTTCCCGTACGACATCGTGCAGATGGGGGATACACATATGTACCCCCATAGGTGTATGTAGCTTCTGGCTGGGAAGTGCCATTGCTAGCGAGAGACAGACTCCTTTGATCGAGGATCACTTTGTCGCCACCCGTGAGCACATGACAATCCCAGGTTGGCCGGATGAAGCCCTAGGACACCATGTTTGTCGCCGCGACGCTCTTAGTATCCGCCCTGCTACCATGGATAACGACGTCGATGCGGGCGGATTACTTGGCGCAATTGCGCCAGGACACGGTCGACATGTTCTACCACGGGTTCAGCAACTACATGAAGCATGCGTTCCCGGAAGATGAGGTACGGCGGTGAGCAGGGACTGATTGCTTAATAGATTGCTAATTGTCGATTTATGAATAGCTGCGACCACTAACGTGTGGTGCTTTAACTCGAGACCGTGACGACCCGACCCGGATTGAATTAAATGATGCCCTAGGCAACTATTCTCTTACCCTAATCGACAGCTTGTCAACGCTCGCCATATTAGCAGGCGGTCCGCAAGACGGCTCCTATACAGGCCCTCAAGCTCTGAGCGATTTCCAAGATGGGGTTGCCCAGTTCGTTCGTCTCTATGGGGATGGTCGACACGGTCCATCGGGTGTGGGTGCGCGCGCTCGTGGCTTCGACCTTGATAGCAAAGTTCAAGTGTTTGAAACGGTGATTAGAGGACTAGGCGGCCTTTTGAGTGCCCATCTGTTTGCTATTGGAGAGTTGCCCATAACAGGGTATGATCCAAAGCCCGCAGAAACCCTCGCTGAACAGGATCCATTGGAACTTGCACCGATTCCCTGGCCAAACGGACTCAAATATGATGGCCAGCTGCTCAGGCTTGCTCTTGATCTGGCAGAGAGGCTCTTGCCAGCATTCTACACCAAGACTGGAATTCCTTACCCCAGGGTGAATCTCCGGACCGGTATCCCCTTTTACGTCCATTCTCCTCTGAACGGAGATGCAGACAGATCCAAGGATGAGGAAGGGCGATTAGAGACCACGGAAACTTGCAGCGCGGGCGCAGGCAGTTTGACTTTGGAGTTTACGGTTCTCAGTCGGCTAACGGGCGATCCGAGATTTGAGAATGTAGCCAAGCGAGCGTTTTGGGAAGTTTGGCGGCGGCGAAGCGAAATTGGCCTCATTGGTAACGGAATTGACGCGGAGCGCGGCTTTTGGATAGGCCCTCACTCGGGCATTGGTGCGGGCATGGATAGTTTTTTTGAATATGCCTTCAAGAGCCATGTTCTTCTTTCGGGGCAGGAGATGCCTAATGTGACACGGTCTCGAAGACAGAGCACGACAAATTGGTTGGACCCGAATTCTCTTCATGAGCCCTTGCCGCATGAGATGCATTCGTCTGATGCGTTTCTGCAAGCGTGGCATGAAGCACATGCGTCTGTTAAACGGCACATTTACACGGATAGAAACCAGTACCCCTACTATTCCAACTCGCATCGGGCGACGGGCCAGCCGTATACCATGTGGATTGATAGCTTGGGAGCCTTCTACCCCGGTCTTTTGGCTCTAGCTGGCGAGGTGGATGAAGCTATTGAGGCAAACCTCGTGTACACGGCGCTGTGGACAAGATACTCGGCGTTGCCCGAGCGTTGGTCCATTCGCGAAAACAACGTCGAGCCTGGTATTGGCTGGTGGCCTGGTCGACCGGAATTCATAGAATCGACGTATCACATCTATCGCGCGACTAAAGACCCATGGTATCTTTACGTCGGCGAAATGGTCCTCAAGGATATCCGGCGTCGCTGTTACGCACCCTGTGGTTGGGCAGGGCTACAAGATGTTCGAACTGGGGAGAAACAAAACCGCATGGAGAGTTTCTTCCTCGGCGAAACCACCAAATACATGTATCTCCTGTTCGACCCAAATCATCCTCTAAACAACCTCGACGCCGCCTACGTCTTTACCACTGAAGGCCATCCTCTCGTCATACCAAGGGGCAAGAATAGCAAGCCCGTCCGTCGCAAGCGCCGATCCAGCAATCTCAAAGATGTATCCGTCTCCAGCTACTACAACGAGAACTTTACCAATACATGCCCAGCTCCCACACCCTTGCAAGATCTCTTGACTGGGTCTTCCACTGCCGCCAGACCCGACTTGTTCGGTGTATCTCGCTTCACCAACCTCTACAACACACCAAACCTTCAAGGCCCTGTTGAAGAAGTACTCGTACATGACGAAAAAAGAGGCCTGATCACCAAATACCGCGCCACGTCCAACCACACCATCTTCCCCTGGACACTGCCTCCCACTATGCTCCCAGCAAACGGGACCTGCGTCGCTCCCCCCCAGCGAGTGATTTCAGCCATTGAATTCCCGACCACCGACGCTGCAAGCTCATTGATTTCAAGACTCGGTGCGCACATTGCATGGTATAGCTACCTCGGCCCAACAGCCACGAATCTGGAGGGCCTCCGATTGCAGCTTGAACAAGAATTCAGCGACGACCGAGGCGAAAATGTCTGGAGGATAACACACGTGGGCAACACACAGCTTGGTCGTCATGAAACAGTCTTTTTCCACGGAGAGCACGTCCGGCATCTCAAGGATGAAGCATTTACATGCCTGCGGCACAAAGACTCGGTCAACATACAGGTCCTTGTTGAAGCGCCCCGTCCCTCAAATTTCACCACAACCCCGACCCCTGAAAACACCAGTCCTCCCTCATCTTCCTCCGCCATACTATCTAGCAATATCGATACCGACCTTGACGCCGCCGACCTGGGTGTCATCCCATCCGAGTCGCTGTTCAAACATCTCCTCAGGGCAGTAACTTCCGTCTTCGACCCCTCAGAGACAGACGCCCCCGAATCGGAAACGCGCGACTCCGTCTCCGCATCCTTTCACACGTGGCAGGCATTCACGTCTGTCGGCGCAGGGTCGTACCCCGTGCCCTCAATCCTCGACAGCCCGATCCCCGGCTCTCCGACTTACAACTCTCACGATCCCATGGCCAACTTCCCCTGGAAAGCAATCTACATTGCCGACGAAGCCTGCTCCGGGCCCCTCCCCGACTCGGCGCCCAGAGACCACCAGGTCATCGTCATCAGGCGAGGCGGGTGCTCTTTTAGCGACAAGGTCGCAAACATCCCGGCCTTTGCGCCGCGCCGAAGCTCGCTACAGCTGGTCATCGTGGTGGACGAGGCCGACGAGCACGGCCAGCACAGGGACGAGCTGCCCCGGCCGCTGATGGAGGTGGAGCAACTCACGCCCAAGGGCATGAAGAGACTGCACGGGGTGCCGCTGGTGCTGATGCGCGTGGCAAGGGGAGAGTACGACTTGTTCCACAGCGCGCTCGCCGTCGGCATGCGCAGGAAATATACCATTGTGAGCCAGGGGCTCATTATCGACAATGCGGTAGTGTTATAGCAGTATGTACATGGCTTCAATTTAAATATCGATTCGAAATGTATTCATGACGGGGCATTCTGGTATATATACCGGCGGCAACGCCACGCATAGAAATAAAGCAGCGCGTATAAAACAAAGGGGGTGGACAATGGCACGGTCCGAATGCAAAGGACTTGCTTGCCCGGCACACCGCATGCTACAATGAGGTAGTGTGCAGACTATCTGATCCGGTGACGAGCGAACACGGCCGGGCCCAAGTCACTCTGCGCCTTTGCCACGGGATCCTTGGTCCGCGTTATTCCACATACTTGAAGTGGCGCGCGGCCAGCCGTCCATTGGACCGGATATAAGCATCGTTTCTCTGGCTTTGCTCGGTCTGCCTTGCAGGTTCTACGGTGGGCGGCGATGCGCCCCTGGGATTCCTAGCCCTTTCATGAGAAACTCTGCTGGGGTCTCCCATCTCTGGTTGCAACGAAGCCGTAGTGGCCCTCTTTGATCTTCCTTCATGATACATTGTCCAGCTCGAGATTCGTCTCGCCCCGGACGCGACGCTCACCAAGCGTAAAACCCTT